TCAGCTTCTATGTACCACAAATCTGGAACAAACTTCCAGAAAACTGTAAAACTGACATCCTTTGAATCTAGACTAAAAACCTTTAGCCTGTTTATGGGTTTGATTTATAATAACTAAAACATTTTTTTACTTTGTTCTGGATTATAACTTTTCATCTCTTTTCTTTATTTTTCCATTGTAATGTTGATTTTTCATTCATTATGTAAAACTTTAAACTGACCTGTTGCTGTAATGTGTTTTGCTAATAAACTTGATAACTTTGACTTGTCCACTCCTCCGTGATGCCGTTTTCAGGTCAGAACTGGATCCGGTTCCAGGTCTGTAGAAACACCCAGACTGAGGTCAGATGTAGTGAATGAAGGAGTGAACATTTCCTATGAAGCAGTGAATGTTGGTCCTGACCACAGCGGCTTGTTGCCACGTCAGAGGAAACAGACTGGACCAGTTAACCCAGAACCAGCTGCACTTCAGCAGTTTGTACCTGAGAGGCTGAAGCTGCTGGAACGTTCTGACCGCATTTCCTTAAAGCTGAAAAACAAGTTAATAAAAATTATTTATAAGTGTCAAAGCAGGAGCAAAAGGTTCCCAAGAGACATTTCACTATTGCTGCATCGTTTCTGCCAGCAGGTCTGATTAGAAACTTGGATTTCTCTAATGGCAACAACAAGAAGATACGAATGAAGCCTGTTTATGTTGTTTTACAATTTGGATTAAAATTAATGTTTCTTCAGCTGATATAAATATCTGATCCATCAAACCCCCAAAAAAACTTTTACATGTTGAATTTATTATTCCAGCGTCACAAAAAAGGTTGAACTTTATAACATTAATAAAATTAAGCTGCATTTTAACATGTTATATGCAGCAGAAAGTGATCAGTTAACTTTGGTTAATCAAAGTGAATTCATGGTTTAGCAAAGAAATAATAATATGCCCACATATTACCAGGTTGGGAAGAACGGCTTCTTCCCTTAAGAACTGACGTCATTATTTGAAAAAGTTTTGTGTGGAAGAAAGTTATGTTTGTCTGATTTTAGTTTTATCATCTGAAACAACGTGTAGAACAAGAGCAGCAACATAATATCTAACCGCCTGATGATCTCAGACGTAAAGAACTACAAACATGTCCGTTCATGTTCTGACTCTGTTCACTGATAAGTTTTATGGTTCAGTTGGAACCGAAACCTCACAGTAACCTTTGTTTTAACAAATATCAGAGTAACTTTGGTCACCACAGAACCAGAAACAATCATTAGAAACACATTTATTGCTGTAAACAGCTGCAGGGACAGGAAGTTACTCTGGAACAAAAATCTGTCAGAGAATCAAACAGTTCTGACTCTTTTCTCTTCAGAGAGAGAAAAATTCACTGAGCTGCAGAGAAGTTTTAGTAAAAAGTGATTTTACCTTCAACTCTGATAGACTTGATTTAATTCACTCGTTCTTCAGAGCTTCTCTTCTCTTCCTGCTACCTGTCAAACATAAACCCCTCCCTTCTTTAACACCTGAGTTTCTCTTCCAGCCATGATGCGTTCAAGGACATTCAGGACATATTTAGCTTCATGGAGCCATGATGTTGTTTATCCACAGGGTGATATTTTCTGGAATGTTAGTTAAATATCTGTGACGTGTTTTAGACACATTAAACAAAACTCCACCCAGAACCAGCCAATACCAGTTGCTGAAGCTAACTGGGAGCAGCAGGTGATGCAGCAGCTCTGCAGCAAATTGGGTTTCCATAGCAACCCGATTTAAAGTTCATTCTGAACAGGTTTGATGACGAAACCTGTTGGTTCCAGTCAGAC